GCCCCAGCGAGGAGCAAGGGACATGGGTTGTGCTCTGAAGTGAGCACCTCCACCGGGACGGCCACGCCGGTGACAGCCATCCGTGCAGCAGTGGGTCACCAGCCCACCAGCACCTCGCCAGCCTGGTGTTGGCTCACAGCCACCAGCATCTCCCAGCCTGGCTTGGAGGCAACTCCTGGGGGTGAGATGCTGAAGCACGGCAGGCACACTGGAGACAAGTCCTGGGCTCCTGAAGGGCTCCTGACCTGCTCAAAGCAAAGCCAGTGCACGAGGCAAAAAGGTTGGAAAGGGGTGTTCTGCGCATCCCATTAATTTTGGCTGTACCTATACACGTATGGCTGTTAACGTGCTTCTGGATGCACTTGCATCGCAGCTGGGAGATAGAAACGCTGCAAGCTTACCTAGCCCACCCTGAGTCATTTGGGCAGCAGGAGTTACTTAAGCCGTGGTAACATGGACATCCAGGTGGGTTAACCACCCAAATACCTAGGGACAAGCGTGATGCTGACCTCATGTCTCTCCCTGGCTCAAAATTGGGGTCAGTGCTCCTTGGGGAGAAGGTAAAAAACAAAATGCCCAGTTATTTCCTACAGCCAAATTTCAGAGCCCTGCAGACCCCCCAGACGGTTCTGCTATAAGCCTTGGATGAGCTCCATTTCTGCCATAACTCTTCCAGAGAGAAAGAATTAGGAGGCTTAACACTTTCGATGACAGTTGCCGGAGCCGCCGTCAGATAACAGGTACCGGCAGCCGGCACAAGAGCCGGGAGCGAGCCAGGCCGCCTCATTCAGCCAGCCCGGAAAAAAGCTGTGTTTATAAAAACCCACATGAAAAGGAACAAATTGCCAATTACACAAAAGTCTTTAAATAAAGTAATGCAAACCTTTCATGTGCAGCAGACAAATGATACACGGTCACCGGGAAGTAATAGAGCAGATAGGGAGGCTGAGGGCGGGGAACGTGAGCAAATCCATTTTCCAGAGGCAAGAAAGGGGGCTCGCTCGCTGAAAAGGATTAGCAGGGTAAAGCCAAACACTTTTAAAAAATAGTGTATTAGAGACTAAACATGCATCAAACAGAAACAGGAAAGGAAACGCAGATTGTAAGAAGATCCAAGAAACCATGCTCTGCTCCTGCTCAGAAAGAAAACGCTGTCAAAAAAATATCCTATGTAAACTTGCCACACACACCAGATCATCAACAGGCATTTATCAAATGAAACACATACCAAATGCAACTCTTCTTCCTAATCCCAAGTCAAACAGGCTTTGAGTTTCAGACCCTCAGGAAGAGATTTCCATATGATCCTCCTCTGTCTCCATTTATGATTAGCCCTTCTAAATTTCAGCATTTAGCTGACAAAATACATTGGGGAGGGCTTTCTTTTATCCGCAAAGCCTGTGTTTCTGCTTTTCCTTAGCTGCTGCTGTACCACTCTGCAGCTGCTCAACTTGGGAGGAAAATGCTTTAGTCAGGACCCTTTGATTGACTAAACCCAGGATCACTTTCCTGACGGTGGTAACCCCAAGGCCTTGCGTTACGTGCCAACGCCGAAGCAAGCCAGCATTTGCAGAAAGGGGTTATAAATGCTGCCTCTGAGCCAAAATCTTACTTTTTAGGCTCAGTAATGCTAATAAAAACGTCTGTGCATGGAGGGTCCCACTGGCAAAAGCTGTGTGGCCAGTCTGAGGGGGCTTTGTAGTTTTGGGAGGGAATTCGTGGTGGAGAAACATTTCGACCTGGTCTGGCAGAGCTGTCGGACAGAGCCAAGGCCAACTCCTGCATGCAGCCACCACTGGCCGTCCCCCGGCAGCCTGCGGTATGGTCCTCGTTCACCATCCACGGATAGGTGATAGAAACGTTAAAGAGTTGTTTTCCATTCATAACATTAACACACTTCCTATGCTGCTCGTGTTCCCTATTCATGGAGACCGTTAGTGCTCTCACATAGCTATGCTGATTGCCACTGCCTGAAGCTTGGTGTACAGCATATACACAAGGTGTCCACACAGACTCCTAACTCCTGGTCATTCTAAATACCATAACCCCTCTGCGTCTGATCACAGCTAATTCGCAGGCAAAAAAAAGGAGCACATTTGCTTAATATGCTGCTTTGTGCAAACACCCTGATCGTTCCCAGATGCATCTGTGTCTGCCCAGCAGCACTCGAGGCAGCAGGAGAGGAAATCATTTCAGCTCCCGAGTGGTCCAAGTGGTTTCAGGATGCTCCAGGAGCCCTCCTGCCTCCGTTTGAGGGAGCCGTACCCATCTCCCTCCTTTGATCAGACCCAGCTGCTGCTGCTGGTTTTTTCCATGCCAAAATGCAGCAGCAGGATCCCTGAACCCTTCTCTCGGCAGAGCGCTTGGTATCGCACAGGCAAGCGCCGCAAGGTTGCCTAAAGCCAGATCCAGGTGAGGACGGTGTTTTGTTCTCACCCACAGCAGAGAAATCAGTTTGACCGATTCCCAGCGGTCTCTCCTAAACTTGCCCTAGGAGTGTGAAATTAGCTACGGAGAAGCTTCCAGGAAAGGTTGAGGTTGGTGGGAAGGAGGAAATTTCACACGAGAATTTGAAAGCCCGGCTCCTGAGTGATTCAAGCCAATGCAGATCTAGATGCTTAGACCCAACACAGCTATGGAGGAATCAGCCCACCGTTTCAGCTCATGACAAGAAACCCAGGGAAAAATACAGCTTTTGAAGTGACAGCCAGGAGCTGGGGGTTGGATGAAGGTTTTATTTACCGCTGCTTATTCAGTTCAGCTATGAGATAAGGCACTAATAAAGATAATCGTGCTCAGAACTTACAAAGCAACTTTTATCTGAAATCTCAGCACAAGTTACAAACAATAACTCTGTTGGCGAGATTTCCCCTGGCAAAGTGCATGTTGCTCCCCTAGGGAGCCTAGTTGGTTTGGGACCTGCCAGGGCCAAGCACTGCTCCTCTGGGCAGCATCAGCCCGCTCCTGCCCCGAGCAGAGCAGCCCGAGAACCACCCCAAAGCTGGTGGCTTTTCCCGTGCTTTGCAGGCAAGAAAACCAAAGTCTGGTACCCATGTCTGCAAAGAGTATCAGTACTGGGACCCAAACATCCTCTTCCTCTGTCGTCTGCTCCACCCAAAACCAATTTATTTACTATCATCGCTCTGAGTAGAGGCTACCTAGCAGCATTGAGAAGCCTCATTTAACCAGAAAAGCATCTGAGATGCCTCAGTGGACAACCCCATACACAAAGGGGCAGGGTGCTGCTCAGAGAGCCGGGGTCACCTGCACGCAACAGAGGTTACTGCTTTCTCTGGGTATGAATTTTTCATAATCACACCTCCTGGCCTTCCCCATTCGTGTGTTAGTTGAAAACAGGGAAAGGATTTATTGTACAAATAAAATCCAGCCATGGGTCACTCGCAGACTAGTTAAGGGTGATTTACAGCGCAATTCTCTTCCTATATTGATCATGAGAAATTCCCACCGAAGCTGTGATCAAACACTTAAAAACTAATATCACGTGATATTGTTTCTGCCGACTCAGAAGTGGACACAGAGCTTCCCAAACCAGCCTCCCCGACTGTCATCTTCACTGTGGGGCTTTTTTGGTTTATTGATTAAAAAACCCAAACAAGAAGGTTGGCTGGGGCAGCTCATATAGATTTCCCGCAGTATATTTTAAACTGTGGTTATTAATACCGTGAGCAGTGCTTTAGCAGAGCTGTTCTCCAACAGCCCATTCATTTTTCAGTGACCTAAGAAAAAATTGTAAAAGGTGTGTATACGAAATGGGCAGCCGAGTGCCACATCCTTGTGACGAAGGTGGCTGAGCTTCCCCCAGCCAGCTGCTGAGCATCCGCCAGCCCGGTGCAGTCCGGCGCTCGCCGTGCGCTGCGTGCGGAGACGGTGCATATGGCATTCTGCTTTAATTAGTCATCCTCATTTAGCTTTTCTCATTCCAGCCCTGGCCTGGCTCGTTCATGGTTATCCGGGCGCTCATTGAGTGTCTCGAAGAGCTGGGGGATTTCACCTCCTCAGTGACTAAGTACTTGAAAAAACACTTTGTTAATGGTATTTTTAAGCAACTTTCCAGAAAGCGAGGCTGAATGTGCTTCCGGCGATTCAAGTCGCCTTCAGAAATCCCCATTTGGGTTTGCCTGCGCTGGGTAGGATCCTGATCCTGCCCCCCTCCCAGCTTATCAGCGTGGGCCAGGGATTTGGGGGCTATGGGAAGTTTCATTTCCTGCTTCTTGGGCTGCCTGTGGCTGGCCGGCAGCATTTGTAAAAGGAAAGGCATTCTTCTAATTCTTGTTATTAACCCGTTGGTGATCTCTGAGACACGAGCCAAAATCGTCAGACAAGCTCAGGCCACTACAGCTTCCATCTGCCCATTGCTACCCAGCCAGCACCAGGCTCTCACTTTTCCTAATTTTCCATTTTGTTTTTAAATAAAAAATAAGACAGATGGAGCATGGAATTATTTTAACGCATGTCTGTGTTTGACACATGATTTCCAACCTCTGTCACGTCTCAAGCAATTCCTGCCCGTGGCATCACCACCCACAGGTGGGCGCGTGGGGCGCAGCCACCTCCGGCGTGGAGCCCGGCATCATACCCCAGCGGCTTAGGACGGCAAGTAACAAAGACAAGAACAAATGCTGGAGGTATTTTAAGCAGATGCAATACATTCCTCAAAGCTAAGCAACGCCGCAAAAAAACCAGCTAAGTGATATAGTAACAGTGTCAAAAATGACCAGAGCTGCTTTCCTTCTCGCCAGCAGTGACTGGGGCTGGTTTGGTACAGAATAAATCAAAATACACCCCGAATTAGTCCTCCACACAGATATGTCTTTGCAGATCCTCCCCGCCCAGCACTAACGCAGCTTCCCTGAGCTCTGCAGGCAATCACGGCGTGAAGTCACCGAGAAAACCAGCTGAAAACCCTTTTCTCTCCCCACCCCGGGGCCAAAATCCGCAGCCGTAGCAAACTGTCGCGTGGTGAAACGCGCAGCTCCTACCTGAACGAGGAGCTCCAGCTTCCTGTCGTCAAGGAGGTGCACTTGGCATCTGCGGCCCTCCGTCATCTGCAAGAGAGAAGAGGCACGCGTGTCAGGGTGCTCGGCGTTCCAGCTCGGGTGCTCGGCGTTCCAGCTCGGCACGTGGCTGCCAGCTCCCCGGCGCAAGCTGGAGGCTTTCCCTCGCTGCCGTGCTTTCAGTTTGTGGTTGGTTTTTTTTGTTTGTTTTTTTTTTTAATTAATCCCCCTTCTTTTGGCACTGAGGGAAAGAAAAGGCTGGAAGGAGAAAAAGGAAAGCCACCCCAGTAGCTGTCACAGGGCAGCGTGCGGCGTCTGCTTGGATGCAGCTGCTGGGAGGAGGTCGTTCCAGTGTGGAAAATGGGACCAGGGGGGACGGTTTGCAGCACAGGGCCCCCGACATTTCATACCCCAGCCTCCGGCTTCGCAGCCAGGTTGGCCGGTGGAGGAGACATCCAGACAAGTTTCCCCCAAGCCCCTCCACAGCAAGGATTCAACCATCCCAGAGGCAGCAGAGAGCAAGCAAGGCTCCTCCCTGGGCCGTGCTGAGGGTGCTCCCTGGGGTCCCACCAGCCGCTCATCTGGGCCTGAATCCCCAAATGGGCTTGTCCTACTTGGGGTGTGCTATTTGAGATGTACCACAGGAGCCACTCGTGATATTATTATACTGGTCCAAAGATATTATTGTACTGGTCCAAAAGTGCTTCCATACCAGTATAGTTTATTACAACTGTTAACAAATAATATCAATACAACTTTAGGTATAGAAGACTATTTCTTCCAAGCTCCTGCAGATGGGGATGCTAAGAAATAAATGAGGCACAGCCTGAAGAAACTCCTCTACAGTGTGTCAAGCCCTTTCCTGGCTCTCCTCTTGCACAGAGCACCGTAAATGAGGAGCAACTTTGCTTTGCAGGGTTACGGCTCTGGACTCAGCCCTGCAAAGCCCTTCAGCGCACACAGGCACAGGCACAATCCTACTATCTGCTAATGGGATATGGATGGACTAAGCCTCTTTGGCTCCTGCAAATCCCTTCCTCAGCACGGCTTAGGTGGCACAGAGGCAGCCTCCCCGGTGGGGCTCACCCCACGGCACTCACGCATGCCTGGACCCACAGCAGCATGGACCCGGCTCAGCCCCGCAGCACCCTTCAGGCCCCTGGGGACCCACCACCAAGGCACATTCCTGAGTGCTGTATGGATCCCCGGCTCAATTTAATGCTACTCCTTGTCATGGTGAGTCCAAAAGCATCGCCAGAAGGGAGCGGAGGGTCCATGGGAGCCTAGCAGGGGGGGGGGAGGCTGTCTGCCCTCACCCATCACCTCTCGCCCCCGGCACTAGCTGAGCTGAGCCCCCGATGCAAAGCTGCCTTGCAGAGAGCAGGGAGACGTGGGCTCAGGGGGTTAACTGAGGACAGCTCGGCTTTCTGCTTTAGCTCTGCGGGTTAAAAATCACCCGCTCCTCTGGCTTGATGGGGCCACTGCATCCAGGAGGATGGACTTGATGACCTTAAAGGTCTTTTCCAACCTAAACGATTCTATGATTCTATCAACTTGGCCCATCTGAGAGCCCAGGCAGTGCGTGGCCATTGCCATAGGGTCCACAACCTTGGCCATGTCCAGCAGCATCGCCATCGTGCTGCCGGTCGCCAGCTCTCGGCACGGGAGCCTGCCAGGCTCTCCTGGGCACTTCTGTCCTCCCTCTTGCCAGCTCTGTCCCACATTCATCTCCCCCTTTCCTGGCCCTGGCCTCTTCCCCATAGCAAAAATTCAGATATGCCAACATCTCTATAGAGCCTCAAGTTGGCCATGCAAGATGCAGAGTTTATTATGAGACAACTTCAGGCAGAATGAGCTTTTCCATTCCACTCATCCCAAATTTACAATCCTGGCATGCCCAATCCCATGCAGTCCGAGCAGACTTTACCCCCGTTGTTAATCACGCCAGCATGCCTCTGGAGTATCATGCACGCTAAATAACATCGCTTTCCTTCTCATTTTCCATCAGCACAACTGGAGCCCTGGCATTACAGCCAAAGGAAAGCCTTGTAAAAAAAGGCTTCTCATAAATGTCAGCCAGTTACTGCCACAGCAATAAATTGTCTTCTTACGAGAGTTTCCTCCAGTAAGTAATGTTATGCAAAATACGGCTCCTCATAAGGTACATTACTTGGTGAATGAGATTTCTCTCTCTGAGGTCTCTATTCAACGGCTTGCAGCTCGGTTCTAAAGCTATGCCAGAGGCTCGTGGAAGGGCTTTGCAAAGGTTTGCTCTGCTTGGAATAAGAGTGGTGTGGGTCGGGTTCAACGCGGGCACAGGGAACCGCACGCCTTCCTTGCTGGCCTTCCCCAGCAGATACTGAGTGGCTGAGCTCTGCTTTGGCATGGCTCTCATCCTCTTACATCCACACATCTGCTGCACCCCCGAGATGGTGAGTACGCACGGATATTCTGTTTTCAATATGAGTTTACCCAAGGCAGGAGATAAAGCAGTGAGTTTATCATGGCGGCAACACGTGATGGCAGGGATGGAAACAGAGCCCAGCTCCTGCGTGTTACGCCCCATCGGTTATAGCAAAATTGAAATGAGAATAAAAGCAGGTGAAAAGGGGGAAGAGGGGAAATTTATGAGATGTTTGGCTTTGTGCTTTGGTGTTTCAGCAAAGCACTTGCTTTCCAAGTGGAGCTTCTTCCGCTCTCCATGCTTTTCCAACCCAGAGTTTCCTACCTCCTTAGTGCTTTCATGGCTTAAAGAAGTCCCAAGCTCAAACAGCTGGTAACATGAAATATCTGAATAAAGTGAAGCTCTGAAATGCAGCACATGATGGTTGACTAATTGCAAGGCATTTCATAAGCATCACTTACAGGAAAGGACGAGGGAAGAGGAGTGAAAGGAGGGAAAAGCACACTGCTTTCAGATCAGCTGGTCCCCAGCAGTTCTGTCCATCAGCAAAGTGGCTGTCAAAGAACACAAACGTTTTTATAGTTTGGTCACGCAGCGCGTGAGCGCACAGCAAGGCTTGCGCTTTATTTCTGTAGTGCCACCTTGGTTTTGTGCCTCCCTGGTTTGAAGGTTCATGCTACAGGCTAATGACCCCAGCTGGTGGCCTGCAGGCTGTTTCCACCCGGGCATTTCTGCACAAGAACGGGTGCAGAGAAGCAAATGATGCTTTCCTAGAGAAAAGAAGGTAGAAGACAGACTTCCTCCTTGGTATAAGATAAACTATGCTGGTTTTTCCCTCCCTCCCTTCTGTTTCGTTATTCCCCCAGGTGCCTGAAGCCCACACTATGTGCTTTTTTGCGTCAGACCGATACAAACCCTCCTAGTTTGTCAGAGCAAGAAACAGCAACGTTCCAAAGCACGGCGAGAAGGAATGGATTTAGCACAGTCTGTCTGCATGAAAGATGCTGCTTCTGACGCTTTGCAAATCGGCCGATCTGCGCTATATCTGCTGCACCACGATGGATGGGGCTGTGGCTGGCTCTAGGGGGACAAGTCAAGGAACCCTTTCTGCTTCTCTGTGTCACCAGAGAAGGGAAATCAGCACTGAAGCCCCGTAGATGGGAACGTGGGAGCAGGAGGCCACTAAGCATGAGCTGAGGAGCACCTGAGTTTGGGTGGAGGATGACTGCAAGGAGTGAATCGAGGTTCTCCACTCCCAAGGCTCTCACCCAGAGAAGGATGGGGGAAACTGAGAGCTCAGGGGCACAAAGGCACGGCTTTTCCTTCGCCACAGAAAAGCAAAATCCCACCAAAGACACAAGAAACAATGGTTGAGCAGAGCTGTTGACTGAAGAGAAGGATGCTCGATGTGGCAGGGAAGTGGAAGAGTTTGCTCCTAATCAAGTCCTGGGTTTCACCGTGAGCTCAGTGAGTAAGTTTTCCTCTACAGCACAGCTCCCCAGTTTCCTTCTGGAGGGCCAGAGCCCTCTATCCTCGCTCCAGAAAGTAAAAAGTCGAGTGTCTGCTTCAACCTAACAGTCGAGACGCCCTGGACGCTCAAAGCAGAGAGAATTTTCAGACATTTGAAGTTAGGTGAGACAACTCCCAGGTGAGCTTCACGGTTGTGCTGGCTGCTTGCTCAGCCGCTTGAACGTGGTTTGTCCCACACCTGGAGCCAGGCTCTAGTGCTCAGCCCAGGAGAGCCTTCCGACAGCCAAGGGTGCTGTATCCATACCAACCTCCCCCCAATTTCCGATGCTTCTCAAGACGTGCGAAGAGATGGGGCTGTGTTACACACTCCTGTGCTAACAGCTCATCCATATGGCAGGGAGCTGCACGCGCCGGGTGTGAATATGGGCCACATGCATTTCATGGGCCAGACTTCTCACGAACTCAGATGGAAATTCTGCACCAAAATACAGAACAGATTTATTTTTTTTTTCCCGAAACAGCTCAGTACGTCACATTTTTCTGAAAATCTGCCACTTCTTTTAGAATCTGCACATGCGGCCTGGCCCCCCGAGCGCCCGAAGAGCTGAACACGAGCGCTTTGGAAAAGCTCTGTCATTCATGTACATGAGTGTGTAAAGGCTAGGGATAACGTATCTCCAATACACAAACTCAGATGGCGCTCGCAAGGCACGTGGGGATCTGAAGCAATGTGTTTGCGTGGGTGAGGAGCTGGATTAGGGTACGGGAGAGCTGATCATACACAAGGCACGCGTGCTTCCTCTGCTCCTTGGCTTCTGCACTTTGAGGATGGGAAAAGCGATGCTGACCTCCTTTGCAAGACGCTTTGAGATCCATTAGTGACAACAAGGCTTGACATACCTGTTAGTTCTCTCTAATAAAGGGATGCTACAGAAAGGAAAGCTCTCTTGTGGTTACCCATGGGATCTTCTGGATCGTAGCTGTTTTTCTCAAGGAAAGGACGTTTTAGTTCCCTTTATCACAAGACTTTACATCTCCTTTGGAGGCTCCTACCCAAATATTTACACAATGGGTTTCCTAGGGAAGGCAGGCTGGCAGTTGTTTTGCTCTGCGGCATGACTGCCCTCCTCTCTATTCGTCTTTGCTGTAACTCCAGACATTGTCTCGGAGAATCCTA